GGAACGAAGGGCGTCGACACGGAGAAGGAGCGCAAGAAGGACCTCTACTCGCACTTTGTCTTGAGGCTCGCGTTCTGTCGTTCGTGCGTACTGCTTTCCTCTGGTGATCACGGCTGAACGGTGGAGGATATGTGCTCATCACGATGAACTCGCATTCAGGGAGGAGCTGCGAGCGAGGTTCCTCAAGCTCGAGACCGCGTTGTTTAGGATCAGGTTCGAGAGCGACGAGTTGGATGAGAGGGCTGCGTTTATCAAAAGCCTGAACTTCGGTTGGGAAGAAGCAAGTCGTGCTCTACCCTTTGCTCGTTAGGAGGAAGAGCTGACGCGTGAATTGGGATCAACCAGGTCACGGGAGACGAGAAGCGTTCGTTCGCGACCCAGCTCGCCGCGTCGACCTTTGGCCTCAAAGAGGACAATGTTGGCCGCGAGGCGTTCTTCAAGGTCCGCACTAGCTTATTGAGTATCCCTACTCGTCGTGAAGCTGATATCTTGCAATCACAGGTCCACTGGACCAAAGTCTCGGACCTCGTCGAGCGCCGGCGCGTCTTCATCCACCGCGGCCAGGCCTACGTTCCTCATCGAGAGGAGCTCTCCCTCGTCCTCACCGAATTCACCTCCGCCCTCTCCTCTGCTCTCTCCGTAAGCACACTTTTTCCTACCCCTCAGCTCCCTCCCCTTTGACCTTCCTTTCCCCTTCCCAGACCACCGCCCGCGCTCTCCCCCGACTAGACGAAGACACCCGACTCCTCCCCATCCTCACTCACCTTTCTGACGGCTTCTCGTCCGGACTCACATCCTCCTACACCCCCTCGTTGAACGCGCTGGGAGAGGAAGTGACGGCAGAGATGATCCCCGAGATGGCGAACCAAAGCTTCCCGGTCTGCATGAGGAGCTTGCAGGACACGTTGAGGGTCAGCAAGCACTTGAAGCACGAAGGAAGGCAGCAGTACAACCTGTTCCTCAAGGTGCGTCTCTCCCGTTCCGAGTGGAAGAGAAGGGGGAAGGAAGCTGATCGTGGTGGTGCGGACGCACACGTGTAGGGCATCGGGTTGTCGGTCGAGGAGGCGATCGTGTTCTGGAGGAAGAGCTTCAGCGCCATGACGGACGACAAGTTCAACAAGGAGTACAAGTACAACATTCGTCACGGCTACGGACTGGAAGGAAGTCGCAAGAACTACTCGCCAAAATCGTTCGTTTCCTCCCCTCCTTCTCTCCTTTTCTCTCAACGTATCTCATCCCTTCTTCCACAGCTGCTCTCAAATCATCACCGGCAAGTCCCCAGGTCCCGGAGAATCTCACGGCTGTCCTTTCCGCCACTTCTCCGAACAGAACCTCTCTTCCACCCTCTCGTCCTTCTACAACCTCTCCGCACCCGACATGAAAGAGATCCTCGGTCACACAAAAGCCGGACATTACCATCTCGCTTGTACGAGGTTGTTCGAGGTCCAGCATGCGAGATTTGGAGTGCAGAAGGGCGAAGGTGTGGGAGGCGGGGATTCGGTGGATCATCCGAATCGGTACGTCGAGGCTAGTCGGAAGGTCATGCAGAAGGTTAAGGAGGAGGAGGAGGGAAAGACAAAGATGGAGGTCGATTGAGCGGGGCATGTAAAGAGATAGTGTAGGCTTAGGTGTAATGCTCTCGTGTTCTTTTCTTGATAGAAGCGTCACGTGGAGGGTCCGAGCAGCTTGCGAACGGGCGAGCCTGAAACTCTGGTCGGGTATAATGGTCGAACTTCTTGCTCGCCTCACTATAGGCGAACTAGCTGGGTCCAGGTTTGTCAGCAGATCGCGTCCCCATTTATTTCCACGTGGCCCGAACGTGCAACAGCTTCCACTCTTTCTCTCCGCCGCTGCTCTCAAACTACCTGAACTTCTGTTGATACTCGAGCATCGTCACAACAAAAGGCGGACACGGACTCTACGCCAGCTTGACAGCCCATCTCCGCCGCACCATGCGTGCCGCATTTCGGCAGCCGGGGTCCGGCCGACAGATTTTTGCGGAGAGGAGGCTCACCAAGCGTGTTTGACTCGCCCGTTTGAACTGCCCTAGAGCGGATTCGCTCTACACTCTTCTGTTCCTTCCATCAATTATGTCTACAACATACCCACAACTTTCCGCTCAGACAGCGTCCGCCGCGACCACCATCTGCCAGGAGCCGGCAAACGTCGACGTCGAGAGTGGCGCCGTCGGTTCGTCGGATGTGAAGGACCTCGAGCTCGAAGCGGAGGAAAAGACGGGCGTTGAAGGCGATGAGGTAGAATGGGTGACCTGGGATGGTCCTGAGTAAGTTTTCTTGCTCTCACTACTGAGCTCCTGCAGCTCCGGCCCGAGTGGTGGGTGCCAGCGGATGACTGAGATTCGTCGGAAGCTGACCTTGACTCAACGAACACCTTCCTCCCGTGCATTTGCGTTGCTCAGTGACCCCGCAAATCCTCTCAATTGTAAGTTTTGAAGTACAAGTCATGAACCTTCATTGAAGCTCACTCACCGCAAAAGGGTCGAAGCGTCGGAAGTGGATCATTACGTGGCTCAAAATCATCTATTGCGGTCTCGTATCCATGGCCGTCAGCGGGTACTCAATCTCGCAGAGCAGCATGGAGACCGAGCTTCGGGCTTCAGGCATTCTCGTATCCGCAGGACTGTCTCTATTCACGCTCACTTTCGGGTTTGTCAGCATGGTCCCGCACGTCAACGCTTTGCTGACACACCGCTTCGCACTGAAACAGGGCGGCGCCTCTACTGCTGGCGCCTGTGAGCGAGGTGCACGGCCGTTTGGGAGTCTACATTGTCACTTCAGTCCTGTTCACTTTGATGTTCATCCCGCAAGCCCTCGCCCCAAATATCACGGCGATGCTCATCTCGCGGTTCCTGGCGTGAGCCGACTTTCATGAACGGCAGCTAGTCCCGCTCCTGACACCTCACGCTGCAGAGGAATCTTCGCCTCGACGGGCGTAAGTCTTGTTGGAGGAACCCTGAACGATATTTGGTCTGCTTCAGGTAAGTGACAGAGCCCCGACCGTAAGCTCACACTGCTCACTTTTCTCTCAGAACGTGGACTCCCGATGGCGCTGTTCGCGTGGATCACGTTCGGGTCAACCGGAGTAGCTCCGCTTTTCGGAGGTATCATGTGAGAATCTAAAAGCTCCTTTTATGGGTGTCCAGCTAACTTGAGCTTACCAACAGCACGCAAACACGCGGCTTCCGCGACGTGTTCTGGTGTCTCTTCGCGCTCAGCGCGACGTTCACCATCCTCGACTGCTTTCTCGGAAGGGAGACCCGGGCACCAGTCATTCTCTCTCGGAAAGCTGCTCGTCTGCGGAAGGAAACTGGCGACTCGCGGCACCAGTCCAAAGGCGACTTTGAGCGAAGCTCCATCGCGGTGATGATGAAGACGTCGCTCACCCGACCTGTCTACATGCTTTGCACTGAGCCAGTCCTGATCGCTTTCACAGGTGAGGGGTTTCCCACTTGCAGGTTGTTACCCTTTCGCTGACGGCACTCCCCTGCGAGCAGTATGGTTCAGCTTCTCGTGGGCGCGTGCTCCTCCTCCGATGGTAATGTTTCGGATGGAAGCTTACGAAGCATGTTCACAGACCGTGCTCTACATCCTCCTCGAGAGCACCTCTCTCGTTTTTGGCGGAATTTACGGCTTTTCGTAGGTCACCGGTTTCTCCACAAGCCACACCGCCGCTGACTGCTGGTCCCGATAGACTATCTGAGTCCGGCTACCTCTTCTCGGCGCAAATCATTGCTGCCACCTGTGGTCTGGGTGAGCTTTTCACTGATGCATACTACCGGAACTCTTGCTGACCCCTCAGCACAGGAATCAATCACTACACAAACAAGATGTACCTCGCCAACGTTGCCAAGCGCGGACCGGAAGCGCGTCTCTACCCAGCAATGATCGGTGGCATCGTCATGCCCCTGGGAGCGTGGCTCTACGCGTGGACAGCAAGGTCAAGTATCCATTGGATCGTGCCAGCTATTGGAACGTTCTTCATTTACACCGGAATGTACTGTGCGTCCTTTCTCTTCTTCTCATCAGAGGTTGGGTGGCGGCTCACGGAATGCGTGTAGGTGTCTATCTTACAACATTCTCCTACATGGCCGACTCGTACACCTTCTATGCTGCGAGTGCTATCGCGTGAGTTCTGATACCATTAAAGCTCACTAGACGGCGCTGACAATGACGTGGCCTCGACAGTGGTCTGAATTTCGTTCGCAACGCTGTGGTAAGCTCTCGTGTTTACAACTAACGATTTAATAACGTGGCTTATATGTCAATTTATTGTTAGAGTGCGGCCGGACCCCTCTTCGCCGTTCAGATGTATAACAGGCTCGGCATCGCCGGAGGCGGTAGTCTTCTCGCGGGGTTGGGTGAGTGTCCACTGCGCCTACCATCACAGAAGCTTGCCCTAACTGACCGTGGTGCTATCAACAGCCACGCTTTTGGCCTTGACGCCCTTTGTTTTGTATCGCTACGGACTGCCGCTGCGGACGAGGAGTCGCTACGTCCAGGCGTTGCTTAAGATGGAGAAAGAAGGAGCTTGAGGTCAAGGGTTAAGAGCCCTGAAGCGGAAGCCAAACCACTGTATTTTTTTGCTTTGAAAGTGAATACGCATTCTTGATTTCCTCCCCGTCAAGGCAAAGACAAGACTACCCTGACAGCGCAGGTCTTGCGCGCTCCGCGGGTCCAAAAAGGTCTGTGCCCCAATTGAAAAGAGGAAGAAGGCAGCCCTACGATGTACTGTTTAAGAGCGTCCGAGAAACTAGCAAAAAGCGAGTTCCCCGCCGGGGAGTCGAACCCCGTTCGTGGCTGAGCACTCGTTCGAATCGAATGAGAGAGCCAAATCATAACCGGTAGACCAGCGAGGACGTTGTTAGATGATGACGTGTCCCAAGTTGGCAATCCCGTTACAGCGATTGAAGGGAGCTGTCGGCGCAAAATCAAATGGGCGCAAATGCGCACTGAGCAAGGGATGAAAAGGCAGCAAAAAAGTTCCCCGCCGGGGAGTCGAACCCCGTTCGTGGCTGAACACCCGGTGTTAATGAGAGAGCCAAATCATAACCGGTAGACCAGCGAGGATGCTGTTGGTTGCTGACGTGTTCCCAAGTGGCGTTGTAGGACCAAAGATTGTTGTATTCTCCGCCCGCTTTTTTTTTCCCCCTGAGTTTATAGATTTTCATGATTCTCAGGATCTAGAAAAGACAGTAAGATCCAGCGTTTAAGGACGCTATCAGGATAGCAAATGAGTGAGGACGATGGTACTCCTGATCCGCCCTTTCCCACTGAATCTTTGACAGTCCCAGGCCTTTGCATCCGCTGAATGGATGACAACGAAAAAAAACGGATTCCGACAAGTGGTTTCGAAGTTACAAAGCTTCGGACTGAAACAAATTGCGTCAATGACCTGCATCACCCCATTAACCGCGCTGAGCTGCGCCCATATTATGCGCCCTGCTAAGCTTTCACCATCATCTCCATCAAAGCCGCCAGCTCTTTCTGAACCACGACTTCATCACTCAAGTCCGCAGGCTCTCTCCCGGCTGCAATCTCCTGGATCTGACCGACTGCAAGCGGCATCTGCAGCTTGACTGGGGCCTTGTTCACCCGAGCTGACGTGGCCGTCCCTGCGAGCAGGTCTTTGCAGAGCGTAGGCTGACCGGTGAGAGGGCTTGCGAGACCGATAACTGGTAGAAGGAATTAGGTTTCCGACTGGCAATGACCAGAAAAGGGTTGAGGTGAAACGCACGGTCGCAGGCCCCGTCAGCGAGGGCACCTTCCATCCCAGATACGGTGCGGAAGCCGCCGGTGACGACTAGCTTGGACTTCTTGAGATGAGGGCCTAAGCAAGCAATTTATTTAAGTCTCAAGTCTAGATAAAGTTGATGTAAGTACACGTACGGACGTTATCAGCGAAGTCAAGGAAGAACGCCTCGCGCTTGGCTGTCGACGGCTTGAGAGCCTCGAAGCCGTCTCCGACGGTTCTGTTGAGTGAAAAAGTCAACTTCAGGGGAATTCATATGGCTCAACAAAAAAATGGGTTCTCACTCGTAGGTTCCACCAGAAAGCTCGATCAGGTCCATTCCGGCCTCGTCAAGCTTTTGAATCGTGAGCCGGGACTCTTCAGGAGTAAAACCTCTGCATGACGGGAGTGAATTAAAAATTATGAGAAGATTACTTCATGAGTGGTTCATAGAGAGATGTCAACCCACCCGTCGGAGAAGTCGGCCGAGTTGATCTTGATTGACAGGATGAACGTCTCAGGGACCTTGGCCTTGATGGCGTCAATGATCTCAAAGAGAATCTTTGATCTGTTCTCCAAGGGCCCGCCATACGAGTCCGTCCTGTTGTTGATGTTCGCCGACAAAAACTGCCACGCGGAAGACACGTCAGCGGGGGCTCACCCTTGGGCGAGGATCCAGCAGAAAGTGTACGAACTCACCTGAGAGAGGAGGTATCCATGCGCAGCGTGAAGTTGAACACCGTCTCCACCGGCTTTGTACACGACTTCAGCGGCATGGCCGAATCGTTCGACCAGCACCTTGATCTCTTCCACCGTCATCGGACGAGGCTTCGCGAACTGCAAGTGCAGCAGTCAGTTTGTGAGCCCCCTAGGCAATTTGAAAAGCTCACAGTCATCCCAAAAGCAGGCGGCATCTGAATGTCGCCCGACGAGACGGGGTGCAGCGTGATCTTGTCGTTCGTTTGCCTCCCTCCCGCCGTAAGCTGGACCAAGACGAGCGAGCCATAGGCTTTGGCGGCAGCGAAGACAGGCTTGAATGCTTCCACAGCGTCCCAGCTCTGAACAAAACAAAGTAGAAGTCAATGTCAGCTTCCTTTAAGTGCTCCTCTCACACACCACGTCAGCATCTCCCACTCACTAATCTCGCATCAATAATCGCATTCTTCGGGGCCTCAGGCTGGTCCCTATCCACCGGAGTATTCCCAGTAACGATCACTCCAGCACCACCTTCTCCCCACTTCCTGTACAGCTCGATGTAGCCAGGAGTCGGCTTGCCACACTCGTCGAGGTTTTCGTCGTCCCATGAGCAGAGACGCTCCGACATGGCGGCTTTGAAGAGCCTGTTTGGGACGACGCGCTTGGAGGAGTAGAGCGTGAGAGGGGCCGAGATGAGCATTGTTGTCTGTTTTTTGGTAGATGTATTTGTGGTTGCGAGAAGAAGAAGGGGGAAGCAGAGCCGCAACTCTTTTAGTTCCCGGGTTTCAGGCACCGCCCCTCGCGAACTCCGAGTACTGGCTCGTGTCTGCCCCAGACCTCCACCTGCCGCCTCCGCCTTCGCCTCCGAATAGAACTGTTCCTACCCCAAATCATGCTGTTCGGCTTTCAAAGCGTAGCAAACGAGTCACGGCCGACAGATCATGGCTAGAGACCACGGCGAGCGCGGCCCGACAGTACGAAGCGCCACGTCGGCGGACCCTGTTGCTGAGCTCTCTGAGAAGGGCGCACGCAGAAAAACGCTTGCAATAGTTGTACATTCTTACACCCGATACTCTCGATCCTCAACCTGCCACTCTTGCCTACGAAGCCTCGAGTCTCATCTCCGTAACGAGCTTCCCTATCGAGTCCGTCGAGTTGCCCGCCTGGTCCTGCTGTCATTCATCAGCTCTCACCTATCGAGGCACCACACGCCAGATCGGAGTGAACCTACTTCTGACACTGCCTCTTTTCGCTCCGGGTGAAAATCTTCCTCTTCCAATGTGAAAACATCGCCTACCGGTGCTCCTTGCACCGGGATGAACTCTGGCAGCTTCATTGGCCTGTGTATCGGCTCTTGCTCCCGCACGTATTCTGAAGATAAACATTGTTAGCCTGCGAAAATGCTGAAAATCAAACTGATATACTTTTATGTGTGTCTTTCTGCAAAAAAAGCGCGCGTCAAGATTGCTCAGCTGTGCAGGAGAGAGGTGGACGACGAACCTTGGTGGGGAACGCCGAATAACCAGACGACGTCGAGAACTCGCTCGGAACTGTACTGGGTGATAATGATGACATGGATTGACGCTGTGCACAAAACACGTGAGCACATCCCACCTCACCCACGTCACCTACTCCGAGGCAGGGTGCTCACGCGTTTCTGAACGGTATTCGAGTCTGGCCGGGACGGGAACACGCTGGCCAGCGGGTGCCTTGTTCTGCTTGTCGAATTGCTTGACATGGAGCTTGGCTTCAAGTGCATAAATGAGCGTCAGCTCAAGGTCTTGGGAAGAAAAGGGGGCCTGGCGTACCCGGGAACTGATCTCAACGAGCGAGCTGTCCGGCGACGGGCTCTCCTTCGGTATGTCGAAGATGTCGTCCACTTTTAGTGGCAGTGTATGATACTGAAGAGTTCCTCCTATCAACTCCTCTCATTCCCGTTCAACTAGAGAACAAGAGCTCACGTGAATATGGTGAATATGACGCTCGACCTCCCGCTGAATCTCGACCAACTCCGTCTCATGGTAGTAATGATGCTCATCTGCACAGACCTCAACCCTAAGCTTCTCCTCCGCCCATTCAACCCGAACATCGAAAGACTCACCGATCACCGGAGCGAGCGTTACCGCATCATGTGTGATCTGCCCACCATCTGTCTGCACGGGCTGACTGAAGCTCTCCACCACCTCCTCATGCCTACATTCCGGCCTCACAACTCTACTATCCTCCTCCTCGTACCTCTCAACATAGGCATTGCTGTTGTCCGCAAGGATGCCCGCCGTGGCCGCGAGCGAACTAGTGCGAGGAGGGACCGAGATCGACCCGCCGCTGCTGGCGCCACTGGCATCGCTATGGTCGGAGAGGGTGGGCGAGCCCCCCTGCTTCGGTTTGCTGGGGAAAACGAGGCTGAGTTTGTTCATGTATCGGTCGGCGAGGCAGGAGGAACGAAATGGTGGAAGCCTGAAGGCCAGCTGTCGCAACGAGGGCGCAGTTTCTCGCTAACGAGGGATATGACGGCGCTCTGGCAGGCGATCGACCCATCACGTTTAATATGCGCCAAAGATGCTCGGCATCGCAAGTCACAATTCTATCGATTAATTGTTCGCTTCCATCAATCAACTGGTAGATATGTGCTCCACTCAGACCTCAGAGCAGCGTAGAGACCGAGCGGACGGTGTGGTGTGGTTCGGAGGTGCGCTCACGACGTCACCGCGCACCCTTTTTTTTTAGCGGCACGTGACCGAATTCATTGTTGTCGCGAGGTCGAACAATCGAGCACAGCTCAAGAGATCTCCGAAAGTTTGTGTATGGTCTGAAGTGATAGCACGACATGAGCAAAACGTTCGGCTACAAAACAACAGGAGGGCCCGTGCAACATGTTCTCTGTTCAATCCTCCACCAAGTTGGCCCAATCAATCTTTCTACCCTTCCCGACTCCTGATCGACTCGAAGATAAAGACTGGGAGAGGGTAGAGGAGGAAGGAAGTCGAACGAGTGGCATGAGCGAAGGTCTGCCGTGAGCGCATTGGAAGGGGAACGTCGTGTCGGCGAGCTGAGCGATGAGCGTCGTGCTCTGTTCGGGCGTGAGGGCTGCAGTCGTTCGTCGTCGTCAGCTCCATTTGGCAGAACGATGAGCAAAAGGTGAGACTCACCATCATTGAACATGATCGCACCACGGCACGCCTTCGAGTTGACAAGGTCCAGCAACACCGGTGGACACTTCCTCGCCCTGCCAACCCACGTCTCCTCCCCCGTCACTCCCCCAGGCTTCTCATCCACAAGCTGAGCGACATAAGACCTCACCAGCTCTTGCTGGAGCCTGGGCTCCGCTCGGAGCCGATCCGCAACGAGAAGAGGAACGGCATGGAGGTGGACCTGGACGTAGGACGTCGACTCGTCCCCCTCCCCCTTCTCCAATTCCGGCAGCGCGACCTCGATCCTCAACCCCCACTTCTCGAACTCGCCTTTCCTATCCCTGATGACCTTCGCCTCCTCACCACTCACCACCACTCCAACAGGCTCCTCAAACGTCCACACTCTCACTTCTCCACAAATCTCCTTGAGGTACTTCTCGACCCTCACCCTCTCCGACGCCGCATGCTGGTCGATCATCACTAGGAGCTCCTCCTTCCTCCCTCCTCCCGCT